CCCAGCACAAGTTATTAATATGGTTGATGCTGAGTTTGGTAAGCTGATGACTTACGATGATTATCGGAATTTCCGTGAACTGTCTACCCTAGTGAGTTGTCATATTACGTTAAAAGTTTGTATAGGAATGCGAGATAAAGACTCACTGATCCGTGAAATTCGTGACTCGGGTTCAGTGTGGTGCGTGATGGACAGTAGACGACGTGTGGAAAAGTTTAGTTTCGCAATCAGGGAAATGATATGTTTGTATAAGAAATTTCCAGAGGTTGTGGGTATGAATTCAACCTACAATACGAATAAGGAAGGGTAAGATTTTAATGGCAAAGCAATCTCTTGCAGCCATCGTCTATATCAACTGGTCGTTACAGATGGCTTCAACAGAAGTTGTCCAGTGATGTACAGTACAACTCATCGTGAAAGACTTGTCGGCGTTAAAGCAGTATTACAGTCATTTAAGAATATCATGGGTGATACATCACGGACTGTCACCTTTGTAATTGACAACAGTGCAGCAGAACAACGTGCAATTCGTAATGAGTTCCCAGCCTGCTCAATTATATTATGTGCATTCCATGTCATCCGTACCTTCAATAACAAAGTAATCGGCGTTACTAATTACCTAACGTCCTTAAGTTCCGTGATCCTCAGTGTAAAAGGCTATTTAAAGAGATGGTGTGCACGACGAATAACGACAGGTGATTACGTGATTGTGTTAACACTTCCTTAGGTTTAGTGACTTGATGAATTTAATGAGAGTGCATTACCCTGCAGCCATGTCTTACATAAATAACAACTTATGGAGTTGTCGCAATATGTGGGCAGCATGTTATATGAAAGATGTCGTCACTCTTGGCAACAAAACCAATAACAGAGTCAAGTGCTGCCATAAGCACCTGAAAACGCATCTCAGCAAGTGCTTCCCATTGGAATTGAGCATTCGTGAGATTTGGAAGTGTTCCATAGAGTCATCCAGAAGAAAGGCCAGTGAAGGAAATCGCAACCTGCATTACTACATTAATTTTGGCGTAGGTCCTACACTTGTAACCGTAAATTTTTTGGGTGGACGAAGGCCTTTCTAACATTCTGAGGCAACTGACAAGCTACGCCGCTTATGCACTTTACAAAAGCATTAGGAGGCATCCGGAAATGAAAGTCACGGATTGCACGGAAGCATACGTCGTATTTGAAGAAGGTGAAAGATACTTCGTTGTAGATAAATATGATTGCAGCTCCACATGTTTTCAACATAGAAATATGCTGTTACCATGCCGTCACCTAGTTCATACCAAATGTCATATATATACACGTCCGGGTAAGTTCATATAAGCCTCAAATTAATTTGTAAAAGATGTATTCAGACATAGTACAAGGCGGCTACGAGATTACAATCACACTGTCATCCAATCACAGTCAACACAAGCGGTGGACTTGGACGTGGAGATACTCATACAAGGAATAATATATCAAATCAGAAACCTGCAACAGACGTATCCTAGGATATGTAGGAGTGTCTTTCTTTAGTACACAATTATCTGATTGAAGCTGCTGCACAGGTGCATGATCAGTCATCTACATCGTCATGCTCGGAATGATAAATGTACATTTTTTAAAGATAAATGTAAATAAATTTTCCTATAACGACTCTTGTTGATTCTAACTTGCGTAAAATGTTGTTGAAACGGTTAGGCGAATAGATTTTTACGTACTACATTTCGTATCGGCGAACCCTAGGCATTCTTTTTCTATTATTACAATAACCATATTTGCACTTAGTTATACATATAGGTTCCTAGTAAGACGACATATAACTCCAATCGCTGATTATCTCAATGTTTTCTGTTATAAATGGGCGCGATTGTTTCATTACGGTACGACATACTCTTTTCATCAATAAGCCTCTCCGAATATCTAATTTTACATAGCATTTCTATGATCACGTCATATACTCCATACCCCACAACTTACGCAAAAGCTACAAATCAGTCTTATCAAGTAGAATATACAAACGAATAACAAGGAATACATTTATTAATGAATAAATATGTTATACAAAATGAGCAACACTGAAAATATCTTATTCTTTATCACTCAAATCCATGCAATTCCCCAAAGTAGATATTATCTGAAAAAGAACATAAGAATTCTAGAGATGTAGACATTGTTACCACTGTAAATGCAATAACAAACTACTTAACATGTTTAAAATAACGAAACAATTAGTTAAATTGTACATAATTACGTCAGTCAACATTTTTCAAGAATACAAATTCCATATTGCATCTGCCTGTAAACATCAAGTATATGCCATAGAATAAGGAAATAGTATGCGTATATAATTTCTAAGTATTTCTATAGATGTCCTTTAATGAAACACATGTACAGGAGCTTTGAGAGCACTAGCAAAAGTACACAACTAAGTATATCAAATAATTAACAAAACGAACTATCCCACCTCATCATGTCCATGTATAATCCTTTAAACTGCAAAAGAATTCACTAAAAGTCGTTATAACATGTCTATTCAAGTAATTCGACGTTTTCTGAACGGAAAAGTACGTAATTCAACAATTTGTAAATTGGCCGTAAATTACGGCCGGATAAGGACACTATCATTTCCTCTTTATGCTAAAAACGCCTTATTACATCAACTTTTAGCAGCAATATAAGTGTAAAAGTGTGTTAAACAACGAAAAATCACCTATTTCCGAAGTTTTTTCATTAAATAAAGCCGCTCGACATCAGCTGATCAAATGACCTATGGCCGTCTACAGGCTGCCCCTCCTTCGGAAATAAATTATTCAAATCGCATGCTGTTACTAGCCTGATATCGGAGATGTTGGTTTGTTTCGCCTTTCCGATCTTCATCTGTGCCACCTGTAAGTGAAATGAGGTTTTCTAGATAAGTCAAAGAAGAGACTTCCTTTAAATTTATCCCGATGATCGTAGTAGTGCTTTTGGTATCTTCGCCACCTCTGTAATCTCTATATTCACTTGAAGTCCTATTTTCGCTGTTAGCCTCTCTGCCTATAGATTGTAGTCTGTGTTGCGTTATAGACAAATCGTCCACGAAGTCCAAATAATCCAGAATCTTCTTGTCGCTCAAAGCACTCCTATCTCTTCATTAATCACAACCAAGCCCGCCTCAATCAGTGATAATTGCCAGTCTTCACTTCAGAGTCATGGCGAAGTCTTCTGTTGTGAACCACTTGGTGTCTGAAGAAGAGGAGTCAAACCGTATAACTGCCGAAAAAGCAAAAATGACTTGTGTTTAGCGAAGTGTGAAACTTTCTTAAGAGTTCTCTATGGCTTGAAGTTTGGTGAACCATTGGGACACCATGGATTACACCCAGTTTAATCATAATCCTAAATCAACCTTATACAACAACTGCATTAGGGGACATTAACCGTGAATGTTTAGGGGTGGGCTACTCAGGAATTAGAAAAACCTCGGAATCATTTGCAATCTTAGAAATCATAACAACTTGTTTGCTGTAGTGCACTGACAGACATACAGATCAACTTCCCCCCAAATCATTGTCATGGTATTAAGAATAGACTGTAGGACAATGTGCGTAACTTACATATACTTCCACCCATCGTCTTCTCAACCACCAGAGCTCTCAAAACGACAGTACTCTCCTCCTTCTAGCTCCTACACGTTGAATTATGTATTATTATTCAATTCCCCCACCGGATATAATCACTTAACACACACATAACTGTGCATCTTGATAGTAAATTCGTTTAAAATAGTCTCTCAGCTGAATCACTTGTTCTGATTTTCCAAATGTTCCTATAGGAATTTTCCATGAATAGAGGGAATCCCCTGTCACAACACTAAAATTATATGTAGAACTGAAGTAACAGTGCTACTGTCTTATGTTTCCTATTTCCACCATTTTTAGATTGCACGTGGTTTTCAGGAGGGTAATATAGAATGCATTTATTCGGCGTGCTACAGTAACAATCATAAGAGATTTTAAAACCTCACTGACCCCAAGTCCTATGAATGCTTCACACAAACCGCGTACTTTCTTTTATGATGCATCCTTACTGACCAACAATCATATCCCACTGACCACATATACAGCTTCAATAAATCTGAAAAATTCAGGATTTAATGAAAATATGCCTAAGGTTCCATCCTAAATCTCACTGAATAATATGGCGGTGATTTTCAGCTCTTTTAGGCTTCATTTGGCAATTTATGTGGAGTATTTCCAAATTGTTCCGGTTCATAACTACGTGTGTACTGAAATACTTGCTTCCGATTACCTCTGAGGCAGTAACATATATGCTTAATTGAATACTTCTGTTTTGCGACGCTGGCAGTTAATAAAACTGCTGACTTTGTCGTCGAACATTTTTCCCTGAAATACATTTCAGTCACGCGTGGATGAAGCATTTACCTGAGTACTGGACGTTTACAGGTTGGGTACAATCACACTTAGAAAACGAAAATAAATTTTAGTTCAATTAGAATTTCACTTCTTCTCGGGAGTATCCAGTGACTATCCCAAGCTGGTTTTCCGTAGACTGACCTATTAGGGGAATCGTTAGGCCTCTTTGTCATTGATGCATGCACCCTTTCATTTCAGTGACTCCGCTAGCGAAGTATTTTAGACTTGACGGTAGTTCTGATAGGAATAGAATCCCGTGCACTAACTATATGACGCGATATGTTCAGTGCAGCGTACAGATAACGGATTTTACATCAGAAAATACATGAATAACCTGAACGTTGTATTATGAGCAGTTACTTATTAGCTAGAATGGATCACAAACATCTTATTGTCAGATCTTCTGAAGGGATTTAGCCTTAATTCGCTAAACCTTGTCCTAGATAATCACCTATGTAATAACTAAAATCTAGAATAAACATTGCAATTTTTTGCGGAAGATGGAGAATAGATTTTAATTCTCTTGCTAGGCAGGTACAGACTGTTTAACCAATCCCCCAAGCTCTTAAGCACCGTAGTCTTCACATATTGGGATTTGAACCCTTTACCATTGGGGCACATTTATGAATGTTTCAGCAACGTGGAACATTTTGACAGTCTGAGGTTGTTCATCGTAGTTTCAGTTCCTACTTTCATGATATCCTACTCTTCCATAATAGACAGTGAATTTTAATATTTAGCGTAGGCTGGTTTGCATAATATTTTTCTTCCGATCTTCAGCCGGACTCATGAACGGCCAACAACAGCCTTACACATGTTGGTTTTCTCTCATAATCGCTCTTGTTAGACGATATCCGTCTGCAAGTAGTGGATCTCAATACTTTTTAAGTGACAAGAGGGCACATTCGTGTATACCTGATACGTAAGACTTTCATGTATTTATGTGCGAGGAGTAAGTCCTAGATGTTTTGAGTTTGTCAGTAACCTAGGTATTGTAAGCTCAAAATTTCGTTCCCCGGTTATTTTTCCATTGGGTATTTACTTAGGAATGGCTTCGTAATACGAATCATGAGTGGACTATTGGAGATTTTCAGTATGAATTTTTAATTTGGTGCATTTTCAATGTAAGTTAGATATGCTCAAGTAGTTGATTATTGTCCAGATCCTGGTCACTTATAGAGGATAATTCGATATTTCTTAAAACAGTGGAAATTCGCACGAAATGTGTTTGTTAAAAAAAGGTCGTTGTACAAATGCCATTCTCGTAGTCGTTTCACTTGATATGACTTATTGCATGTAAATGCGTTCTGTGTATTTACTGGGCTACCACCGCCAGCACTGTGCGATACTCTAGGTTATTTTTAAGGACATCTACGGACGATACAAAGTTTTGTGCTACGAGAAGAGTTTGAGTCCGTCATTGATGTTGGACGTGGAAACTAAGTTGAACTTTGATTTAGCGTTTATTATATAAATACATAAAAGACAAACGAATCCAACTGGATGTTGTTTACATTTACGATTACGCTAATTTGGTACGGCTTACTTATTGCAGAAAGACAGGTTGATTATTGCTTTGGCTTCTAATGTTCTAGTTTATTCAGTTTAGCCCTCATCTGTCCAAATATTTAAAAAGTTTGGTGTGGATCCTGAAATACTCATTCCATACAGGGGTAGTCTGCAAAGCGAATGATCCTGTACAATGGAGTAAAGTGTAGTTCATCATCATCGGTCCCCCTAAACTGGCAATCCTACTTGGATACCCTATCTTCTGTTAGAGTGGTGTTCTAGTTAAGTTTAAACGGACTGGTTATAGATGTGTCATTCGAAATTTTGGACATATGACTATCCTTTTTTATCTTTCACAACAATAAAGGTTTCATGGTATTGTTAATGTGTACGAGAAATGCTATTTAGCTTACAAAGCTTTAAGCGTTTCTTGTGATAACTGACTAAAAGGAATAGAGAAGCAATTGGTGTACGGGTACAGCATTATCAATAATTTGCCCGCTTGTTTCTCCTTAGTGTGCGCCTGTAGTGGTAGCTCATTAGCTTAAATACTCAACTATTAGACTGTCGCTGGTCCGATTCCCACTTCACCTACTTTATTCCGGATTAGTATTATCATTCATATAACATGTGTGGTCCATAAACTGACACAAAAAGTCTCTTCCGAATAACAGTTCTAGTCGATTGATATTCGGTTGCATATGGCACTGAATCTATATCATTATAAGTCATAACGTCTTGTCTTTCAAACGATGAGAAGTAAAGATTACCTCATACTTTTTGTGGTCCATTAGGTTCTAGTTGAATCGAAACAAGTCCTTTTGATATCTCTACACTAGACAAACAAGTCTTCTCAAATTTTTTTTATAGATTGTCTGTACAGGAAATGAATGTTTAAGCAGTCCTATGCACATATACCTGTCACCATTTGCACTTAATTCCATCATAGGTGTAGATGATGGTGACTCTGGTGGACTCAACTTGCCGGAATCGACTTGTCACCGATGAAGTCTCTTTAATTTGGAACAAGCAGATAGTAGTCCTTTAAAATAAAGACACTATTTCAAATGCGGGATGGTGGTGTAATTGGTTTGTTTAAGCATATACAGGGAGATGTTTGATTGTATCGACCACTTTGCTCATATAGGAAGTGCGATCAACCCTCATGGACTGATTGCTGACGAAATCTCATCATGGATACGAAAGTTTCACTTAACATTTGCGTCATCTTCGGCACAAGCGTGATATCCAGCTATCTACAAAGGGATATGTCTCCTGTGCAACACTTCGCCCTGTTCTTGATGGTTACCAGATATGGAAGTTATGAAAAGACTAGCCATTTTGACCACAGGTAGCCACATTCCATAGTAGTATGGTAATTAATAACGTGGTTAGCATAGATTGTTAGGTGACGATGGGAAGTCAACCGACGAGGCTGTTAGGCTGCATTGTTTGAGCATGCCAAGCCATCGCCTGTGTTTACGTGTGATAGCTGAAACAGGATTCAGTTAGGGAAAGGTTTTATCCTTAACTCCTGAAAAGTTATTGAAGTTTTACCCTTCGAAGGGATTAGTCTAATTGCATCGAATATATTTTATTTGCAGGTTATTAGTACTTTCTCCTCAGTTTTTACAACAAACCCTATGATGGGAGGCTTCAAGATGAGTATTGCTGTCATGTTTAAATGTTTGGTTATCTCCTCACTAGATACAGACATGTTATTTTACACTGATAAGACAGATGCGTAAAAGCTTTGCAGATGCTTTTTCCTTTTAAATCTTTTAAGTCTCAGGCATATACTCTCAACGCTTTACTGGAGGCCACGCAAATCTCCGGGAATTTATCACAACTTTTCACCGATAGCAAAGTGGTTTATTTGTGTGAGTCTTTAACTTAATCTTTTATAGCTCTGTTTCTCGCTAGCACTCAGTTTAAACATACGGTGAACAATTATTTCACCTGGCGAAAGCGTGGAACTGTCAATGCTGTCGGCGGGTTGGCTTGCGACTCTAGAGACACTAACTGTTTCTTGAGCATTAAAACTCTACACTATTACATTTGAGTAGAAAACTAGTCAGCTGACAGGCTCATCTCTTACTTTTTCCGAATTGTTTTTCTGTACGGTGATTACGAAAAGACATAAATGATTACTACAGTCTATTCTTACTCAGACGGATCCATTGTGTGCTGGACAGCACACAGAGGACTGTGATCTGATGGAAAAGCGAGTTTTCCGCTCTTTATTTCAATGTTGTTTGTAGGCTGTTGAGTCCAGGAGAGCTGGTCAAAGAATCTCCTAACTGTATTACAGCGGATGTTTTGCATCCTTCAAGTCGACGAGGTTTTGTTAACTTGATAAATACACGTAAATCTCGTGATTGTCCCAACGATGTAACAAATATCCAAAGCTTGAGTTGTCAAAATGTTGACTACTATCACCTGTTATTCAGTCAAGCATAGTATCTCCAAGATGAAATCTTGAACATGAGTTTAGCAGTGTGGTTTTAGTTGACTAGGAGCAATGTCTCCCAGGTTCACATCGCCAGCAGTGGGCATAGAGTGAAGAGATCAAGATATCTGCAGAATATTACTAATGGGATGAAAGTAGGAAGATGAGAGTACATGGTTAACAGACAGATTTTGCGTGATAATGGAAGTGTGTGGGCGTTTACTGATTTCTCTCTGCCGAAACTAGAAGTTGATTTCTTCTTGGCTTCCTCGACGGGCAATGTTAGCTGACATAAGGCCAGGCTGGAAAAGAGCTAGCGGCGGTCAAACAAAAACATGGCATTAGTCAATGAAATTCACAACAATTAGTGTAAGCTAGCCACGTAGGAAGATGTAGACTTCCTGGTTGGGGTCCTCGGGACGGTGAAAACCAATGGTTGGAAACAACTGGTGACATGGCTCAAAATCGTTCTCAGTGGCGCAGATGCATCCACTCCTTGTGACTTATGATTTCCAATTAAACTGTTTTGTTGTCCGTTATTACTATTCATTTGTCTTACACCTCTGTTTACTGTCTATATTATGCATTTCTTCTCTTGCTTTGTGTGCTACATGGAGTGTGGCGACTTGAACTACCGCACATATGTGCAAAGTTCTATGTCGAAAACCGACCGACCGACCGATTTCTTCTTGGAGTGCGGATAGAAGAAAAACTGGCAGTGTTATATGCGATCAGCCGACCTTTCTGGAATGGTAGGACCTGCATGAACATTTGTTGCGTGTCTCAATGGGTCATTTAGATATGCCATCTGTACTACCATGTTAAAGTAGTATCTCTCGACCAGGGGAAATCAAAAATGCTACTTTGTATAAAAAACAGAGCACACATTCACCACTGCAGTTTTCTTTATATGGTATTATCTATGCAGGTGTAAATTTTTTCTTATTCCTTTGTCCCCAGTGGAACATAGGGCTTCAAGCGAGAGGCTTGAAGTTTCGGTAGCAGTTATGTTTATTTTTACGGGATGGGGTTGCTAGCCCCATGCCCAACCTCCCCTTCTTACCAGTCTTACTACTGGCTTAGTGACGTAAAGAAGTGCGTCGGCCGGGGATTGAAGGCCGAACCACCTGCTTGATTGGCGAGCACTCTACCGACGCACGTGTAAATATATAGTCAGTATTGCATTTGTTAGTTAAAACATCATTCTAATCGCTTAGTATATGCGTAAAGCTTTGCAATATTTTATCTCTTTTAGTTATTAATGCTGTTTTCAGTATCCTAAATTTCTACTTTACTTATTTTGTCTTCAGGAATCCAATAAAATTCATTGATTTTTCGCTTTCTATTACGATATGGCAACCTGGGATGAGGTACGAGAACTTGCCAACAAGCTCAAGAAAGCACAAGATCAACCGAATATCTGCAGACTTTCTGATAGAACATGGGTTGACATTATCCGACATTTGATTTCTGTCAACAGATTGAAGTTGATCTTTTCAAATGATGGACGCTCATATTTAACTCGAAGTGAACTTGATAAAGAGATACGCGATGAAGTTGAAGCACATTCTGGTCGAATATCGCTTACTGAACTAGCATCAAATCTTGATGTGGATTTCGAAATTATTGAGTCTAGAGTTCTTGAATTGATAGCTGCAGATGTCCAGTGTAAATCACCGTGTCGTCTGATGAGTATACCAAGTGAAGTTGTTAACAGTTCCTATGTCCGACGTGTAGCTCATGAAATTCTGGATAGACTAGAAGAACAAGGTCAAACAAGCATTGGTGAACTAACAACTATATTTGGTTTACCCACAACATTTATATCGAATATTATGCAAGAGTATCAAAGTACTTTATTTCGTGTGCATAAATATGGAGAGAAGTACTTCACAGATACATTTCTCAATGCTACTAAGGCGAAAATCAGAGGGTATCTCACGGGTGTTGTTCGTCCGGTTACATTAAGTTCAGTTGCTACAAAACTTCAAGTACCTGAGAATATTGTCAGCAGTTCAGTTGCAAGTTTTATAAGCACTGGTCGATTGTGTGGCAGTCTTATTGCCAACCGGAGTACATTTGTTCCCCAGTGTTATACTCACGCTGAAGATACATACATCAATTCATTTTACACACAGAATGGATATGTTGAGTGGAGTTATTTAAAACGACTTAAGATTGCTGATCCAGGCTCCTATTTAAGGACTAAAATTCCCACTGCTGTACATCTTCCAGGTCTAACAGTTAACGCCTTAATTGTTGATCAATTAAAAGCCCTCATTGCCGGTATTATTCGTGATGTATCTTGGATAGATCTGTCGCCTTATATTCCAAGTGGATTAGATTCAAATGAAAGGTTCACACTTGTTAATCCTTTGTTGAAAAACTTACCCGTGAAATTGATTGATGATGCATACGTAATTTCTGATAAATTTATTGAAAATTGTGCATCTTATCTGGATACATATGCGAAGAAAAAAGCACAAACTGCCTTCCATAGTGAACGTAGTGTAATCCTGTCAAGTCCAGTGCAACAACAGTCGACAGAAGTCAATGCAACTTCAAAACAAGGTGGTACATCATCTAAAGGTGGATTTGGTTTCGGTGCCCGTGAAATTAAAACTAAAAATGTTAAGAAAAAGTATAATCCAAGTAAGCGTAAGGCTGATGCTCATGCATCAGCAAATAATGTGGCAGAAAATGATGTCACCGGTGATTCTAGTGATTCTTCATCCCTTATCAAAGAAATATTTGCTCGTTATATCCTGATAGATGAAGTCAAAAGTATTTTATCTCCACAGTTACCAAATGATGTTCCAGATGATGTCATTGATCAAATTTCTGACCTATTAATGCCTTCCTTACAACAGTCATTCACACGGCATATTAATTCCTTAATATCGCCTAGTGCAGATACTGCTTTTGATCGTCAGAAAAGAATACAAACACAAGAAGTGGTGAATAGTATGCTTCTCAGTGTACAGGTAACCAGTTGAAATCCATTTTTGTTGTAGAACAATTCAAGCTTTTTTCCCCCTCTGCATATAGTTATTCATAGTTTTATATAAAGCAGCGGGTGCGTCGGTGGCATAGCGGTTAGGACGCTCGCCGACCATGCACATGGTACGGGCTTCGATCCTCGGCCGGCGCACTCCTTTACCTCGCTAAGCCAGAAATAATGCCGGTGAAGAGGAAAAGTTGGGCATGAGGCTAGCAACCCCATCCTGTAAAATAAACACTGCTAAAGAAACTTCAAGCCACTAGCTTGAAGCCCTATGTTCCACTGGGGAACGTGAAGGAAAAAAATATATAAAGCAGCAGAGTGTAGAACAGAACAAACTGACTCCCACTTACACTCCTGTGTTATTCTTAGACGGCAGTTGCCTATTAGCCCCAAAAACGTTTAAATTACCAGGAAGGTTTGAGTGTTGACATTCCACATAAAATCTAATTGGAAGTTATTCATCGAAAATGATGACCAATAAGCAAGTGGCTTATCATCCGTATCAATTATATCTGTCATATCTGTTAAACGTGAAAATAAAGTTACAAACATGCCTATAGATGATGACCAGTGGATAGATACAACGTTCACCTGATGTCGCTAGTCTTGTAAATCCACATTTTTCTCAGGTGTCTTATTGTGTTAGAACGGTTGCTTTGCTTTCCATTAGAGTGGTAAATAGTGCTTCAAACCTCAACTGTGAATTTTCAGTGGGTTGGAGTTGCCAGTCTGATATGAAACCTTCCCCTCTTACTTACTGCCTAAGCGAGGTTTAGTGCGTCGGCTGGGGATCGACTTCGGTCCCCGTGGGTTGTTGGCGAGCATCCTACCATTGGACCACTGACTCACTGAATGGTTACTGGATTAACTTCTGGTGAAAAAGGTTGTCTGCAGTAGGTGTTCCCTTTGGATGACCATTGAGGTAACTATGACATTTCCTTAAAGTACAGAAGAAGGGTGGTAAAATATCAACCTTGATAGTGATATTTCTCTACTTTAGATAGACGCAAAGGTATAACTATGTAATATTTTCGTATCTTAGAAACACAAAGTTTTAAGACAAGTTATTTGTGTTCTAACTTCAGCGCTATGCGGTCAGTCTTCAGTATTAACTGTAGGGATTAATCCATCTTCGGGTAAATGAAGTCCTGCAGGTGTGTCTGCAACTGTGTGTGTGTGCTCTAAATGCTTATAGAAAAGAAACAGGTTCGAAGCCGTAATGTATGCATGAAACATCAACTTCCTGTGTTAGTAAAAGCTTAAACTCAGTATATTCGAAACATTCTGTTATATGTACATGCAATTGTTGTATAAACAGGACGAAATCTCAGCACACATACAGAAGGCTAGTTTCGCAAATGCCAGTTTACGCCGTCTCTGGCATAGATGTGATATCCGGCTGGCTATCGGCCAAAGGGCGTGTGTACTGCTCAGCAGTCAGCTCCGTCCTACTGTATGCGTGTGAGACCTGGCCATTGAGGGTGGAATAAATGAAAATCCTGGCTATCTGTCTTTGTTCATAGGTGCCTGAGTTCTATCTCCTGTGTTAGGTGTATAATCGGGTGAGCAATATTCAGGTGAGGCATCGGTCGATTGCTAGGTAAGGAGCGGAAACCAATCGACGAGGTTGTGTAGCATCTGCATCGATTGAGATGTCTAGGTCATGTGTTACTCGTGACTAGCCATCGCCTTCGTCGACGGGAAACGTTAGGTGACATATGATTGATCTGGTTGGAAAAGAACCAGTGGTGGTCAAACCAAAACATGGCTTCATCAGTCAATGAAATCCACAACAGTTAGTTTAAGCCAGCCACGTAGGAAGCTGTAGACTTCCTGACTGGTTGGGGTCCTGGGGACGGTAAAAACTAATGACAGCTGGAGACAACTGGTGGTATGGCCCAAAATGATCGTTCTCGGTGATGGCTGGCACAGATGCATCCACGCCTTGTGACTTATAATACCCAATGAAACTATATTGTTCGTCGATATTGCTGTTCTTTTTGCCTCATATCTCTGTTTACTATCTGTACATTGCATTTCTTTTCACTTTCTTCGCTTGCTTTGTGTGCAGAGTGAAGTGTGGCAACTCGAACTGCTGCACATCAATGCAAAGTTCTATGTTGAAACCAGTCAGTCAGTCAATTGTTGTATCACAATTATTGGTCTGTTAACGTCTAACCTTGTCAACTGAAGTGTTGTGATAATTTATGATTGAAGATAGTGATGCGAAAGTGTATCATCAGTGAGAGCCAAAATCTGGACTTTTCTTCACTGCAAAACTACCCTACATCAACTCGTAGATTGGGAGTTGAAAAGTGAAGTGGTCAACATGTAACTCTGGTCCCTTTTTTTTTAATCAATCGAATCATTTTTATTTTTCAGCTTAAATAGTCTTTAAAATTTGGGCGTTCGGGTATTATAAAATAGCATCTTTCTTGGTGCCATATTGTACCAAGTTTTTCTGCGTTTAAATAAATAGAAAATAAAGATATAAAATAGCCTTATCTGAAGAGATCATATTTATTTCAGTATCGGTCACACAAACTGAATTCAGTTAGAGGGCATTTGAAAACTGGGGAGTATCAGACAGGCGTTGTTGTGTCTTTGTTTGCGACTAACAATTCAAATAGTACACACCCTTGACCCTACTAGAGATCGAACCCAGCAGCTTCAGGTTACAAGACGAGCTCATTGACCAGTTAGCCACTGGCAGAAGTTAGAATTAACGGGCCATTAGGTTCTGTCCTAGTGGTTGTGATTGGCCAATGAGCTCATTGTGTATCCTGAAAGTCCTGGGCTCGAATACTGATGGGGTCAAGGGTGTGTACTGCTGAAGGGTCCCCCAAATAAAGGGCACGTAACAGCTACCCAGTACTACTTGGTTTTTAGTGGTTCTCCAAATGGATTTAGTTTGTGACCAATTTTGAAATCAATCAAATTCCCCCTCCCTCCGCAGACCAACACTTGGAGATTATATTATTTTATTCACGTAAAATGTCTAAAAGCACTTTCAACACTTCGTTTAACTTCCTAGTGTCCTGAAGTACACAACATCTACTGCATATTGTTATTATTGTATTAAATATATTTCGATGTACTTTAAGCTAGTCTTTTCTTCGATATTTCAGCTGTTGGAGAAAGGGATTTCAGCAGTAACTCGTGCCTCCCTAAAACGCCAACTACTAATGCATCTTTTGAAGAATCATGGTTTACTTATTCTCCGACCAATCTGTGATCATATTGCTTACGAATTCGGAATTGCCTGGCCCGAATTGACGGCTGCTATTCGCAAAACTGACCAGTCAAATCTAAAGGCGTCTGATTCAACTGATGATGCTGATAACCTTACCAGTTCAAATGTTGTTGAACCTTTAAGCATTGAATCATTTCATCGTTTAATCGATCTGTTGAAACGTACCAGCCTACCGGATGCAATTCTCTTAAGCAGTGCCATACAACAGGTTCTGGATAGTTTGAAAATCGGTCAAGATAATCTCAACTCGCTTAGTGTATTCTATTCTTCACTGGAAAATCTATCAGTCAACAATCTCGGCTTAACCATCCCCGTATTCCGTTCATCGGATAATAAACGTGGACGTGATGAACGACTCAAATCGAATGAATTAGCTATACAATATGAAATGCTGTTAAAAGAGTCTGTGTTGGATGTGAAAACCTCTACTGAGCCACTGAAAACAATTACAAATGCAACTTTAGCTGCCACCTGTTTATTCGCTCAAATTATTATCGGTTGGCCTGTAACAGCACCTGGGAAATGTGTACCAGAGTTAATTGAATGGTTGTTTGAAGCTTCCAAATTGAACGAAGAAAATGTAGACAAAAACGATAATGATAGTAAATCAAATCAATCGCATTCAACAGCTTTAAAGCTACTCCAGTCTTCTACAGTTTTGAATGATTTGAGTAAACTTGCTGCATATATCTCGGAGAAAGTACGCTCTGGGCATGCTTCTGAAGATGAATCCAATATTCATGCCTATCTGAAAAATATGTTAGAAGTAGGCAGTCAATGTAGAAAACAATTGTATGTCTAACATACTCCCGGAGGAGAGGATTCTTCGCTATTAATTCATTTCCAGTCTTTCTCTTTTCTTCCGTATTTATTTGTCTTTCTTTCTATGGTGGACAGTTTTTCACTCATTTAAACAATTTCAGTATATTTTTTTGCAGAATATATATTTCTTCTACTTTTGAACTGTTCAGTTATCGCTAGTTATTAAAGGAAAGCGGTTGGTTCTGTAACCATAAACATACTTATCGATGTTTTATATAAGAGCAGTTATGACCCGAATGTCTGTGCGCTGAAATCTTTAACTTCCGCGTTATGTGTAGGCGAGGTTTGAATGTCGGGTGTAATATTAGTTTCCAAAAGGTTTATTGAACTTATCTCAGAGTTTCTTGTGGTTGGACTTCTAGTAGATGACGCGAAAGCGTAGTGAGTCAAAACAGCGTATTAGTGGCCACACTGGAGACGTAGCTACTAGACTGTGATTTCCTTTCAACAGATGTGGTCTACATAAGTTTTCGCATGATTTCTTACCAGAAAGTAAGTTGTGTTAAAATGCTGATGAGAATTATCGACGAAGTGTTGTATTTTCTAGATTCATTCGATGGTGACCTTTACGTTCCTAGTGGAACATAGAGCTTCAAGCTGGAACTTTGAAGCTTCCGTAATGGTTGTATTCATTTTTACGGGATGAGGTTGGTAGCCTCAAGCCTAGACCAACCTTCCCTCTTTACCAGTCTTACTACTGGCTTAGTGGTGTAATGGAGTGCGTTGGCCGGATATCGAACCCCGAACCACCTGTATTGTTGGCGAGCATTCTGCCGCTGTGCCACCGACGCAGTGTTTAGCTCGAGGCCTCGCTGTGACTCGAACTCAGGTCGCTGGATTCAAAGTCCAGAGTGCTAACCGCTACACTACGAGGCCTTAAACGTGGGAGTACCGGAAGCTGTTTCGTCCCAGTTTGGGACTCTTCGCAGTACGCACCCACTAAGGTTTGAACCCAGGGCCTTTTGGTTACAAGACGAGCTCGTAGACCACCACTTCGTCGGTGGCACAGTGGTAGAATGCCCGCCGACCATGCATGTGGTCCGGGTTTCGATCCCGGGCCGCCGATGCACTCTTTCGCCTCGCTAAGCCAGTAATAAGACTGGTAAAGAGGGAAGGTTGGGCATGAGGATAGGAACCCCATCCCTTAAAAATAAAAACCGCTGCTGCTGAAACTTCAAGCGTCTAGCTTGAAGCCCTATGATCCACTGGGAACCTACAGGAATGAAAAGAAAATACGATGATGACGTGGGGTTAAGTGATAACCACACTTGGGCCTTGTATGCGCGTCTGTTTCCGAATCACAACAAACACTTATAACTTGAATCGCAGAGATTCTAGCTGGTGAGGCCTCTTGTCCAACTACGCAAAAGGCCGGGATGTTGAATATTGCAAAATGAAGTTGGAAGCGTGGGTTTAAGAGACCTCTGGAAGTGTTGCCGATCGCTATTAATGCTTGAAGAGTCAAGATAATGTAGACAACTTAGCTGTGGAATACCACTAACATTGACAAAAAGCAAGAAAAGGCGAACGAATGATGATCAAAAGAGCTTTGGGTGCTTATGAAAATGTGTGGGTGGTTATTACTTCCCAGCCTCCATCATTGTGGCATCTGATATCTCCTTGAAATATCGGAAACAGAAATAGCAATAGTGATGCGTGACTGTTTAACTTAAGGGACTAATATTTGATTGCGATCCAACACGGTCTGTTCGAAGTAGTTTTTGTAGTTTTGCGTTAATGAAGACCTTACCGCCGGCTACATACAACTGTAAGGTACATCGGGATGTATATTTCTGTAATCAGTCTTTTCTAGCCCCAACTCGCCAGAGCGAAGAGGCAGCATGACTGTCTTGTCGGCGGTCTGAAAGAAACACCTTCCAGCTCTCATATTGCCATCCCCCAGTAGTACGACTTCGCCTTTAGACAATCAAAATAACGTGAACGACTTACATTCTGACGTTGGCTTCTTTTCTGTCTAAGCGTTATCTAAAAGATCTTCCTGAGATGGCAGGAAATTCAGAAATAGTCGTTCCGTCTGGTGTAGGCATTTGGGTCATTGCAAAATGCAAGTTCAAACAGGGTAGGGTAGCCATAAGTCGGCAAGTATTTGTGTGACCACTCAGTCCTGCACTCATCAACTAGGAATTGCGTCCCAGATATTTCCTCAGTAATGCGGCTTAGATGACTGTGTGACTCTTGTCGGTCGACGACGACATCAGTAACCGCCAGTTGGCCTATTCGCAACCCCAAAACGTAGGTCGATGTTAACATTGTATCACTTGGTATGCAGCTTCATCACACAGCTGTTGAATAAAGCTTGCAAATGTCTGTTAATTATTCTACAATCTTTTCAAAGTTCATGAAGTTGACGTGGGGAGTTGACTGTCACTGTATGCTACGTTCAGTGATGATAAGTAATTCTAGAATTTGATCTGCGCATAATTTGTGTGTCTTAAATCCAGCTCGTTCCTTACCGAGATATGCATCTAGAACATCCTAAAGTGTAACCAAGTTAATGTAGCCTAATAATTTGCATAATTCCACATCAATTCGTGCATAATTTGTTTAGGATATGAAGGGATATTGACGTTTACGCAAAGTATGATGTACACAAGCGCAAGTCGTTACCCCCCTCCACACAGCCCATGCAGTATTGATTATATTTAGAAAAAAGACAAATCAAACTGATCGTCCAAAATACAAGATATTATTTTGGGATCAGAGTCTTAGTGCTATGATGATTGCTTAGCTAGTCAGGGACCAGGCACGAACGAGCGGACATAACACGACAGTGTTGCAAATGGCGTGGATGCTTGGCCGCTTGCCTTCAGCTTAACGGTGAAGATCAGCATCCACTGTTGAGTGATGAGTGCTATAGGCTCATAATCTTGTAGAATTATTTGCCACTACAGCTTGAATAGGTAGTCTTTCTCCCAGTAAGCAACTCAGGCAAAGAAAAATAAGTTCCCACTAGGGGATTACTTCGAAGTTCTTTTAGTAGACAATAGTTCACTTTTGACTAAGTTTAAATCAATTTTTAATTATCTATATACACAGTCATTTAGGAATCAATATTCTCAAGAAATACACGAATATTTATTTATAGTCGAATCAGGTCACTGATTTCTTTGGAATAGAAACGATTTGGTCATGTTTGTTTTTCTGTAAAACATTCTCGATAAAGGTGACATAGTAAAAATTCTCATTGGACTGTGATCGGAAAAACAAAATGGGGATGAAAACTACCTGAGATGAGTTTGAATTCTATGTTAATTTGTTTACTAGATATATCACATAGGGAAGCAGTATTTTTTTACTGGATGACTAAGCTTCAGATACAGTTTATTGATCATAATCATATCATGAATTATAACAATACAGCTTGGAAACTTCCGTCTTATAGTTTTCTTTACTCCTTCCTATTCGTTGTAGCAGTAGTAGAATTTTTCACATGTCCGGGTGGACAGGTGTTGAACCACTTCTTTTGCATGCATTTTCCGTAGAAAATCTCTCCCTGCACCCATCTCATCCCGTCCTAGTGTATGGCTGTGTGTAATTGCATGTGTAGTACTACAGCTGAACTATTCTCCGGATTTCTTATCTTATTAGAGTCAACTAATCTAGAGTTTGCTAGGATTTTGTGCTCTGCTAGTCTGACTAACCCCGTTCTACCACTTTGATCCATATATTTGACTTGAAAATCACTGCAGAGTATTGGATAATTATTATTATTGTTTCCTTTAATTCCTAGAAAAACATAGGGCTTCAACCGCGCATCTCCATTGCGTTGGGTTCTCTGCTAGAGTCTTCACCTGGCTCCAAGTCTGCCCACACGCTTTCATCTCCTCTTCACATGACCTTCTCCAAGTCACCCTTGCACTGACGACCAACTCGCCGCTTCCCATTCGGGTTCCACTCGAACAATGGCTTGTCTAGTGATGTCACTTGATGGTTTCCTCAGAGTATGACCAGTCAATCTCCATTTCTTCCTGCCTATTTGTTTCACAATAGGTTCCCGCTAGGTTGGTTCGCTCCTAGAGGTCTCTGTTGCTGATCCTTTCTCGCCGGCCATCTGATCTTGAGTATTGAGCGTAGACAACTGTTGATGAAGGTCTCTAGTTTGTTTGAGATGCTCTTTATGACGCGCAGTGCAAGTCTCTGATCCGTATGTTGAGTAGCACTGACTTCACATTGGAGTTGAAAATCCGGATCTTATTTTTGATGCTGAGTGCTGTTCACCTCCACACAGGCTTGGGAGTAGTGAAAGCTTGTCTTGCTTTTCCGATCCTTGCTTTGATATCCTCGTCAGTTCCATCCGCCTGTAGTTGAAACGATGCTTCCCAGGTAGGTAAAAGAGGTTGTTTCTTTCAGGTTCCTCCCATTTATCTGGCTGATTGTTGTCAGTTGTTGTTGTTGCTGTTGGTGGTGTTGCCCAGGGATTTTCATCACCTCTGTTTTATCTATGTTCACCTGAAGTCCAATCTTTGATGCTTCTTCTGCTAGCTTGTTGCTTTTCGCTTGCATATCTTCCAGTTTGTGGGAAATCAGACATATATCATCGGCGAAGTCCAGATCCTCCGAGTTTTTTGTGTGTGTCCATTTTATGCCTGTTTCCTCATTGCCCACTGTTTGTCGCATTATCCAGTCTACTGCAATCAAGAAAATCATTGGTGATAGTAGGCAGCCAGCTTGTCTCACTCCTGTCCTCACTTCGAAGGATTCCGTTGTGGATTACTTGGCATGCAGCATTGTCGTACAGCTGTTGGATGAGATGTATAATTGTCGTTGGCACCCCATAGTAGGGAAGTAGTTTCCAAATCACCTCTCGATCAACGCTGTCGAAGGCCTTTTCAAAGTCGATGAAGTTGAGATCGAGAGGTGACTGCCATTCCAAGCTTTGTTCAATGGCGATCCGTAATGTGGCGATCTGACCAATACATGACTTGCTTCTCCTGAATCCAGCCTGTTCCAGTCGAAGTTTTTCATCTAGGGCATGTTTGATTCTCTCCAGGATGATGCGGCTTAGTATTTTGCTTGGGATGGACAGGAGCATAATTCCGCGCCAGTTCTTGCATTGACTTAGGTCTCCTTTCTTTGGTAGTTTGAATAAGTATCCTTTCTTCCAATCCTCGGGTACTTTGCCTTCTTTCCACACCTTCTCCAGTAGTGGTGTCATCAAGTCCGCTGTTGTCTC